CAACTGCCTAGTGTCACAACTCACTGCAGTGCTAATTGGCCTAAACAATTATTAATGCCGTTTTCTAAGTACTCTCTGTATTTTCCCTATTCCTTAAATTGTCCAGATAAAGTGCACCGAAGAAGAGTCCATGAATTAGAAGTCAGTAATACGGACATAAGAAATGGCGTGAATAGAAATGAATGAGATGAGTGATTTTTATCACTGTAGTACGATTATCTAGAACGCTTATCTTATCCAATACGTGCCTTCTAATTGTTTCATTTTCGTCTTACTCTTTCCCGGTTATCAGTCTTCGTAGAAACATTCTACTAGATGTCATCATACATAGTGTCTGAGAGCAGTTGTAGTGACCCATTTTATTACTTATCATCGTAGTATACTTTCACTGTGTAATTGGACTTTGATTTGTTTATCACTCTAAAGGTTGCGTGTTAACAATTGACACATTGTACTCGCTCAGCTTTTGAATTTTGATCGCTACGATAATACACGTTCGCACTCCATCTCAAGTTCCTTTTGGTTTACGTTGTGGATGTCGAGTAATCACAACGTTAGAACACAATAATAAACGCGAAGAAGCACTAGGATATATGTGCATGCTAGCTTGGTCAAATAGAGCAGCACAACACAGTTTTTCAATACCTACACCTTACACAAATTTGTTGCAATGAAGGCTTTAGATTATTCACATTAGGCCGTAGTACAGTTATTATACTCATATTATTGATGTAGTGACATGAAAGTCATGTACATGTTGCTGTGAAGTTTGCTAGTAATAACACCTCCCACACAGTTAATACGGCGCTTGTGATAACAATTCGTCATTATCTTTTCATTGCGTTGATAGGTGCATTTATATTAGAAAAACGCTAACCTTGTCGTATTAGTTCTTGAAAATAATTTCACATAGTGCTCATACTTCTTCTTAGTACGAAGTGCTAGTCTTACTCTATGAAATATTTTCTACAGCATTCGTAAATAACTATCAGACTATTATTATATGGAGTAGTGAGACAGAAGGTGTAAGAAATTTAGATGTTAATGTGTATTCGCAGTTACTGACACAACATATATGTACATGTTTCATTTCCAAACAAGAAAATGTTATAGAGTAATGCAGGGCTGAGCGCAGTGAGTTAATAGTGTATTCATTACCTCACACATCTTGCATAAGTGAAGTGCTTCCATTCAATTTTCTTCGAAGCTGCAGGGTTTCTTCACTGAACTTCCACAGGACACAATTCTTGGTGTTGGTGGATCCTGCTTTGAAAATCTGCGGTATAATCGAATCAACCTTTCAACTAAAAGCGGTAATATTGATATTATTAAAAGTGTGATCTACCTGTAAACTGAGTAACTCTGGTGTAACACGGCACCAAATCCCAGCAGGGATTTGTTTGTGTTGTAAAATTCCTGCAGTTACAATTAGAATTCATGAACTGAGCACCTTTTAAATGTGGAATTGTCCCATTGGGTCATGTTGATTAAAGGATGTCGAAATGCGACACCTTACACAGACGCATTTGTATAGATGTAGGCATATGTTACTTCACGTGAACTCTGGGCCATATCGAGAAGGCGTTCGTTTAAATTGACCCTTCGTTGTACGCTCAGTTATTGTTTGTATATGCGTAATGACTTGGTGCGGTTCTTAGTTTGCCTATAATTACGGAATGTACCTAACTTTAAGGCCCACTTTAAATGGATTTTCGTAAAACCTGTGGTGTTCCTTCTCTAGTCTTAACTGTCTTTACATAGATTGACACGATTTAAGGAATAGATTGTAACGTGGTGCGTTCTGTGGCTACGAATCGTAGTTACCTAGTTTCGAATTAATACCATGCGTCCGATCTTATAAAACTATAGATATAGTTCTTCCGTCGCAATACACTACGACATCTGGAGGTCAGGAGCACACTGTCTTCCGTAGATCTAGTTTTACATTGTGACTGTTATTGGTGAGTCAGCTTATTCAAATCCGGGAAAGCTCAGCAATATATTGTAGTGTGCATTAAATTCAGTTAACATTTGTGGGAGAAGATAACCAATGTTTCAAGTGTTCAAGGAACATGATGTAATTTCTGCCCGTACGTGGACACCAAATTTTGCTTCTATCTGTGGCTTCCATTGAAGTTAGACAATCAAAATCCACAAAAAAGTGCAGAAGTACGAATTCAGTATCAGCCATATTATTCGGCTCCTGTAACCGAAATAGGTTCTGTACAATAGCTCATCGGAGAATTTAGAACCAAGTACATGTTACCAGTAAGCTTCAAAGAAGTTTCTTCAAAAGCCAGTCGTCGAAATGTATGCGAAGCACACTTGGCATACAAAATAATCATTGAGTGAAGCATATGTTTACGCGTCCTGCCGCACACACAATACGTAAATGCTCAAAAACGATATCAAACAGCAATTTTCATATAAATCCATTCAACAAGAGCCAAATAAGCACCGAAGTCACATAAACTGCACTTGCCTGTACAACTAGCCCAACTTCAATCAATTAGACCGCGCAAATGCCGACAAGGTGAAGCAGGTGGCACCACTTCAAATAGGGGATATGCCAAATAATCGCCCTCTTCACTCTCTGGTGAGCTGTCCTTCGTGGATTGCCGACATATCACCTGATGTGATCATCAATCAGGCTTTCCAATGCTTTTGATACCACTAGGAATAGTGCTGCTGATATATAATTCTACGCATTTTGCCTATCCTCGCCCTCAAGGATAAGAGAAAGAGTAGCTCTCTTCCACTCCCTTGGCAGTTTCTCTGTACCCATGAAGCGTTGAAACAGGCCACATAAGGACCTGCAGAGAGCTTCAGCTCACTGTTTCAGAACATATATATTTACTATTTACATCAAAGACCGACTGAACATATATTTTCTGTAACATACCTTCACCCCACTGAACCTACACTGAATAAATCCATTATCTCTTCCTGAGATACCAGTTATCTTATCTACCTTCTAAGAGTAGGGAATTCTGAAGGAGACGGTATGCTGATAATAGTCACTTCTCAGTATATAAGTATATACTGTAGAGACTAGGATCATTAGTAAGTTAATTCCGTTTCTTTATGTTCAAAAATACTGACCTATTATGCTATGTGTTCAGGGGGACAGTAAGCACAATTTTATCCAACTTCTCACCCCCTAACAGGAGTTTAGGTGGACAGAAATTCTGATTTCCCGTCTCAGTCCCCAAAGCCTGTCGAGAAATGTCACATGTACTGTATGCACCATTTTGAATGGAATGTTTGTTGATGTTGTAAGAATATCGTTTCATTGTGAAAAAATGGAGTTCGATACCGTCAGTTTTCTAACTTGCGTACGCAGCGTTCACATTGATCAAAGAAATAACATCATAGATATGTAAAAAAACAAAAAAATTGCTATCATTTAAAAAGAAATCCTTAGCGTGTGTCCAATTCATCTTCATTCATTTCCGCATAGTTCTATGGGCGATAGGCTCCTGGTTGGCTCTCTGTCGGAGTTCTACGCAGATTATCCTTTCCTTTCATCTGATATTCATTATCAAAAGAAGTGGATTTCCGTGAATGAAGGCTTGTAGCCTGTTGGAAAGTCTTTCGTGACAGTCAGCACCCTTCGACTATATATTTAGGCGGTAACCTGATATTCGTACAGAAGGTTCGAATATTATTCTTCGTGTTCAGTGTAGCAGATTTAATCGCTTATTTTGAAGTTGGGAGTAGTTCCGTAAAAATGTGTCACCACAAGTAATCCACCAGACCAGATCACTGGCGACTTAAATAACTGTTACACTGGGTGGAAGAATTTCTTCTGTAGGTTCAAACAGTTCCCTTTTCAACACCATTAGTGGACGAAATCAAACGAATTTTAGTTTATTTGTGAGTCGCTAGAATATTTATTTTTACCTGTACATGCAACAACAACTTCTGTTATATAATGATTTACTTCGAATTTGTATCTACAACTTTTATTTTGGCTGTCTGTCAACCTACTAATGCTAAATGCACTAATACAGCAAGTTTACGTTTATGTGAGTAAAATGTTAGTGGGAGTCTTTTTTGAGCGTTATCAGTAAAGTGGGTCCCAATAAAAATATTGGATTGATCTGATACTGGAATTCAGGATTAATAACAAGGGTTGCAGGTATATTTTAGTGTTGGCATTTCGTAGGAACTTTAAATGCCTTGATGAGAACATATTTAGGATATACCACTAAACGTATGTTAGGCTTAATCATAAATAAACCGTACAGACTATTGGTTCATGCTTCAGCGAGGAAGCGTAAGCCTGGAAAACAGTAAAATACGAAAACTAATGCCTGTTAGGGGAAATTAATGCCTTCTCAGTCGGACCAAGGAAAGTTTAAACCGCTTCCTAAAAGCAGCAGTAGAGGCTACTTAACTCTGGCTTAATGAATACTTAGTGCTTACTCTGATAACCTCTTGACGCTTTTTCCCCGCTGACGATATCTCTGAGAGGTCATAATTAAATGCTACTTAAGCTGATGTTGAATAAGATAGGATAGAGTTCAGTTTCTCACATAGAATTGAAACTATTAACGGCATCAGCCGGTCTCACTTTCTGAAGCGAAAAATTTTAAAGCGAAGTTTTATCTCCATAGAAGTACATATTACATGGATCATACAGAAAATTATCATGAGGTGAGATTGAAGGTGTAGCTGAACACATTTGGCGTATCATTAGGCTATACAACTGTCATAGAAGTCACAGCCAAATTTTAGCATAGTTTCGATTACATTTATATGAATAAGCTAGTGACACGATAATAACATTAGCTTGAAAGTGGTTAGAAAATGTAGTACAATTGCGGTATGGCTGAGCGAATGAATTTGAAAGTATAACTGATGAAAACATCCTCGCTAAGCTAAATAAAAAAGGAAAACAACTTTTAGGGTTGACACAGATAGTTAAAGTGACTAAATTTGTCACTGAATACTGAAGATCATCCGAACAATTTGAGATAGAAACGAAAACCCCGCCTCTTAGCCGCGTTTTTTGAATGTTGCGCGTGGTCACCTGGCATTTCCCACATATCAGGCTTTCTTATCGAGTATTAAATTAAGGTATGGAGTTGTTACAGTATTTTTCGGGTTTTCAGTTTGCTTGCAGGTCTTCTACTTTAAAAAGACCCAGTCTTTACGCCCACATAACTGGTTTTAGGGAAGTACATATGCTTTTATCTTAAGCTTGTTAGTATTTTCAGTGTCATATTAGCCTTATCAAGTAGATTTACCGTTAATTAAGTAGGCCTTCTATTCATCACTCATCTTCTTTTCTTGATAACACCACTGAATTTTGGTGTGTCCAAAGAAATGTGAATTGATTTTCTCTTAACGTCCTGGTGCCATCTTTGTGCAGTAAGTCTTTCTCATTGTCTCAGAATGTTAAAGGGTGCCACCTGCAAGGGAGCAATTTAGTGTGTTTGAAAACCTGGGAGTGAAATGTAAGGTGTTTCTTAACTGTCTGTCATAATTGTAGCGAATTAGTGAATTTCTTGTTTTTGAAATACCTTATAAGTTCTGAAAAAATTAATCGTTAAAGTATTGACAATGATGGTGGATAGTTATAAGTTACCGTCAGTTTGAATATCTATGGTATTCTTGGTATTTCTACAGTCATGCTGATTCCTTTCTCACTAATGACATCCTTTGTAAGCTGTCAATTACTTTGGATTAGATTTGGTCGGAGTTTGGTTCGTGCTGTTTTTGAAATAGTGACACTGTAGCTGCTACCTCATCGGTCATTAACTTTAGAAGGACACCACAAATACGTATTATTCATTGAGCCGCAAAATGGGTTGCTTACACTTTATCTCAATTGTCGAAAGTCATTTGAAACTACCCAAATCACTGATAGATTCCCCTTGACACATTTAGCCACTAGTAGCTAATGTATCTGATCTTATTCTCCGTTCATTCTTTGTTCGGGATTCCATTTTGTTGTCATTTAAGTATTTAAATATTTCCGTACTTGAAGTCAAGGGCACTGGCATTGTTCATCGTTAGTTTTGTGAGCTTCCTAACAGTTAGAGCGGATAGCACACGTCTACTTTTTTCGGAACCTAGGTAATTCATCACAACTCACCTAAACAAACAGTCCAATTTTCGCTTCTTACATTTCACTTTAAAAATCAACACTAATATGTTTACGTGAAATAATTCAGTGCTTAGTGAGCCGTAATTTTATCAGTTTGAGTTATCCTGCAACTAGAATATCATTTGATACCTGAAGCATTTAAGTGAGTTATGTATTGTTAACAAACAATTCAATTTAAGGGCATCTTTCAATAAGCCACACCTATTTCATAAAAGCGTATAATATAACCAAGCCTCCCAACACAGCAAAGAGTAGGCTAGGGATGTTAAACGTTGATTGGAGGTCGAAAGCGTAGGTAGAAGTATGGAATTATGGGTTATAAAATCACAAAGGTTCCTTGTCTTAGTAATTCTATCATAGCAGTACAATTTGTAGTTTCGGTGGTGCTAAATGAATTTTGATCGGTTTCGAGATTGACTAGAAAAAGGAAGGCCCTTCTCGACGCCTTACTCATTTTCACAACTAGCTGTATACATCTGTAAAATGACTAGTCAGCGGGGTCCAAGTTATCGTTTATTCAGTCGTAAAACGGGTCAAGTCAAAGATTTGAGGTATCGGCCATATTGATGAAAGTTTTAGCTTGGTGGTTGTATGGTCACAATCCCACATATTTCTATTGTTTTTAGTTAGTTGTTTTTGTATCTGCCAACTGGGTGGTTTTAATGTAAACTGCAAATATGTATCCAGTGGGTTTCGCTGACTGTCTAAATTGATGACTTGAGTTATTTTTCACTCCAAAGAATACAGGTAGCGTTTCGTTCAGAAATGAAACAGTTGCGCATGAAGGTTGGTTAAGATGCTGAGTTTGGGAAAGTGGAATATTACTCAACAACCACTTGCAATGCCATGCAGTTGGTATAAGCCACAACTGTTGCGTTGGGAATACATGGCTGCCCAAGCCTCCGTAGAGAAAGTGGGGTCCAAATCGTAACCCACAGGTTGGAGGTCAAACGCGTAAACCAGTAAGCCATTGCCCATAAGTGCTCAACTAGATGTGGTTAGTCATCGTGAATCACAACGTAAGCTGGTTAATATTAGGAATACGTGTTCTTTAGTTATGCATAACATGATGTACTCGAACATTGACAGTGTTTGATCTGTGGAAATAATTATTAAATATATTTTATTATTATTGTTATTAAATATAATTAAAAATTATTAAAATTGTACTCCACTATGATATACTTTGTAATTAACATTCTATACTTGTTCGTTTCAGATGTCGCTAACAGATCAGCTGAGAGCGCTAGCGATCCCCATTACATCTAGTTATGTAGTTGATAATGTCCACCGGAAGTCCTTAATTTACGACAATGCTTCAAAGGTTGACACTCAGTCCTGCTACTCCAACAGTAAGCTTACTTTTCGTATTTTGTTGACGTTGATAGGTTTGACATCGTTCAAAAAACTATGCGAAATGGAGAATGCGTTTAATTCATTTAACAAGACACTATTTTCTGTCACTTCGTGCCATATAGAAATGTGTAATCTTTTACCTCAGGAAAAGGAAAAGCTTGATAGTGAAATCTCCAAGTTTCTATGTTATATTTCATCTTTTCTTAAACATTACGTTGCTGTTCAGGCTCTAGAATGGCTTGTATACAAGTAGGTTTACAAATTTTATATTTATATCATATTCAATATAGGTTTCAGATTCATTTGCATAATGTGGAAGACTTCATCCGTTGTGTCATTCCATATCATGAAACTGGTCTATTCGTCAAGTTTATTCAGATTTTGAATTTCAAACAGTTACCCGCTAGTTTTCAGTGGTTAAAGCCATATGCTGTACGTTGATGCGTTTTGCGAATGTAGTTTAACGCCTTCTTTTGATTTTCCACTTATTACATTGTATTGCTCATTACTAATTTCTTGTATACCTAAAATGACTCAGACAATCGGTATTAGTAACACTTTGTTATGTGACAACTTTCAAAAATTAAGAACTAGGTTGTTGATTTTATGTTTCCCGTAGGTTGTTTAGAAATAACAGAATATCAAACCTTTGAAACGAGATTAAATGTGCCTACTTAATTCGACTTGTCTGAGATTTTTCACTTTTGATTACACTCCTGAATTTACTAAATACAATTATCATGTTATGTCTCTTCATCAGCGTGGCTTATTCAATTGACGTTAGTGTTAGATTCGTATACCTCTTGAATTCTGATTCACTGAAATAGAAACATTTTTATTAGGTGACGTAACATGCAGTTATAGCGGAATCCATTATCCATGTTATTAAGCGATGCGTATAAGCAAGCCTTGTTCGAATTATCAAGAAGCTGATGGTTAGTTTTTATCTACAACCACTTTCATTCAAATACAATTGGTAGTCAGTCACGCCTGTTTTGTGAGACCTTATGAACCACCTAGAAGTCTGAAGCTCACCAAGTGAAGCAGATTCCGAACGCTCAACACTGGATGACGACGAGCACCTCAAACAAAAAGTCACTGCTCTATCAAGTTTATGTTGTGTAGCTTTTTGATACCTTCGTGATAAACTTTATGTTCAAGTGCCCACAAGCTGTAGTGATCGTAGTTATCTTGTTTTTCTTGGGGGATAACTTTCGTAGAAAAGTATCTCTGAAACGATTCTCTAAAGATGGGTTTTCCACTGGTCCGGTTCTCCTGGCTTTTTGTATGGTCTTTCTCAAATAGGCCTATGAAATTTTATCCAACAGTGGTTTCTTACTTCAATTTTTTAAATTTACACAATAAGCATTATATACCTGTCACTATCCACTTAAGTTCGGGAAGATGTGACAGGACGCCATCATAGTCACCTATTCAGTAGTTGGAAAATAGTAATTTTTGAACTTTATGAGTCCTTTTTCAAGTTGAACTCTTTAGATACTCAGGGTTGTTTTGTATATACTCTTTAAAATCGCAGTATGTTTATGGATGTTCAAATTGAAAGGTGTTTACGGCTGTTAGCACTTTGTAAACGTAAATAGTATGAAAATTTCACTTTAGGATATTTATGAGACTGTTTTTGATTGAGAGGGTTCGTAGTAGATAGAATTATAAGTTATAGACAGGCGTTCTGATGCGATACGGACCACAGCTAGTTATGTGGAAGTTAGATTTTTGTCAACTGTGATTTATGGAATCGTATCTCATTTATCATGTGTAAGTGTCCACGCCGTAGGATATTGCTTCATCACTTCAAGTTCCTGTACTTCACAACATTACGGAAAACGAAATTTAATAGTTAGAACGATAATAACATACGAGGAGGTAAACGAGGGGTTAAATAATCTAAGTTTCATAAAAATTTCAAAATTCCTGCAAAATGCTTGATTTGCAGTCTAATTTTATTATTGTGGTGACGCTAGAGGTTTGTCACTGCAATCATAAATCCACGTAAATCGTTTAATGCGTGTTTGTTATTTCGCTTACATAAAATGTGTGTGTTTATTTTCCAGGAAAGTGGCAAAAGTATATCGCGACAGGAATTTACTCGTCTATGTTTTCGGGAGCATACAATCGTCCCGTTTATTTGTACAACAATTCTTAGTTATGTTGAAGTGAGTAACCGATTTACTAACTTTTAATTTGATTTTGTTGCTTTTCATATTGTCTTAATGGAGTTAGTAGTGTTTTGACAATGTTAATGACACGGTTCAGAGCACCATTTATCTTATTTTGAAATAGAGAGTAGTGGTAAAGTTTTAGCCGCTTGAATGACAACTTTTCTGTACACTTATCCTAAGGAATTTATTACTGAGTCATCTTATTTTTTATTTATTCTACATTTTTTCTGCAGTTATGTGTAAGATTGGCTAGGAAGTTAACATAACGATTAAACTCTGAACAGTATCTTGTATTAAGACAGTGTGTTGAAAACTTGTCTCATACTTAAGTTGTGTTTTTCATATTTCTCTCATTTCCTGCTATTAGACCTTTATACAAGATTTTACATTTGTCCATTTGTCAGTGAAACAGGACGCACAACACAGATTGTTTAAATGATCACTACATACAAAGTAATGTGTAAAACGAATACATAGCACATTATTGTATGTCCAGGAACAGTAATATATCAGATGCTGGCACCCCTAGAAGGTCAATCATAGCCTCAATTACTTATTGGCAGGGTATCTGACTTTGGCAATAAGGAAGAAAGTTTTGAATGACAGAGGAATCATGGGTTTGCTAGAGATTGCAAATGTTGCTTATGGAATAGCACCAATTGCCATAAAATCTAGGTGAATTGGTGTTCCTGTTGATTAGCTAGTAATATGCAGCTAAAGTGCACCACAGTACACAGTAGTGTCACTCTATTGGACTTATCTAGTATACTGGACACACGACTGACCGATTTCTATCAGCACATCTAAGACTTGATGGCAACTTTGATTATCATCTGTCGACCACTTTATGTGTCAGTAAATGTCTCCCATTCTGGCGTTTTGTGAAGGAATGAGAACAGTCTAAATGCATAAAGTAAACCTTAATGTACAGTGTGAATTTAGTTTGTGAGAAATGGTCCATTTGGTTAGTCATCTTACATCTGGTATGATATTCTCTACACCATGGTTTGCAATATTTAGTCAACAATAGAAGTATGGTTAATTGCTGGACTGTGTATATTAATCAGTATTATGTTCAAATCCCACCTTATCGACGTCAGTTTGTACGATTGTAATATTCTTGAAATATTTACTTTGTGTAGGTAATAACTTTTGATTTTCTTCATTTCATTACAGTGCATATCTTCTTGTTTTCTTTTGTAGTGCTGTCAAAACTTGGTACCAACAAGGCTAAACGATATGACGAATTTTTTCCTGGCAGTCGTAACCGCGTTGTGTGACTCAAATGCACCTGACAAAAAACTAATTAACGTGTTAGATTCTTTCCAAGATGTTATCAGACAAGGACTGTTATCTGCAAATATTCCTTTTCAATGTGCTACATTCTTGGTTGTAATACGCTTCAGTTTGAAACTGGTAATTAATAAAGAATTGGTTCTCGATTGGATATACTGTATATTGAAAAAAACCCGACCTTCTTGTGAATGGGAGTCAATGCGCATTGTTATGCAACTGATGAGAAATCAGCATATCCCCTTGCTACCTCCTAAACTTGCAGCCCGACAGAATATACTACTGTCCAAACTGTCTCTGGAAGAAAAGCGCATAATCGAAGAGGAGCAATCAGCACTGGTTAATGAATGCGAGGACCCCAATAAATTGGCCGCAGAATGTGCTCAGAAGTTTGATTATGTTCGGAAGGCAACTCAAGTTAGTTTTTCAGTTGTATAATTTTATAATACCTCATCTCGAACTTTTTATATATAAATTATGTGTGCCGTCAAGTGGTGGTGTTTAGCCAGCAGTAATTTACTATAAATATGTCTCAGTAAGATTTGTGGCAGTTCACTTTCTCAACCTATTTGATTTATCCAATAGCACCTGTGACTCAGCTATCATTTTTCAGATTACTACAACGGAATAAATCCGGGGCTTAAGTCTTTATTTTCTTGTCAGAAAATGTCGTAGGTGCAGAATAACTGCGGATGGTCATATGCATTCATGAGGCTACTTATCTAATTGAGATGTGAAGGAAATTTCTAGCTATTTGGTAAAAGTAATCAAAAGGTTTGGACCGTATGGTCAAGGTTATGTTGATTTATCTCAAATTCAATGACTGTATTCCCTCTTCATCTGAATTCCGAGTGTTTTACTAATCTTCAATGCATTCTTTCCACATCATTTTGCATTTAAGTATTCTGAATAACCTTCATGTGTTGCACCCTGTGACAACTTAAAACGCTTTACTTTTATACGTCACACGTCGTTCTTGTCCAATTACGTGTGAGTTTGTTTGCACGGTTTGTCTTTAAGTTACTGGACATTTTCAAAGTCATTGGTTCGACTACACAAATATCTTTAACTGAAAAAAAATAGTTGTTAATTAAACGCATAATATGCTGTACATTTTAAGAAAATGTGATGTAATAGCAGTGTTTTATTTTTTGAAATTTTTCCAGTTAATTGATGTTGATATGAAGAGTGAAAAATTGGAAACCAAGGAAGAAAGTGTTTCAGATGACATTTCTTCAAAGGATGAGGTGAAATTAAAAATTGATATACTCCACTCGTTCCTCTCTAGTATCCCAAATGTAGGTTGTTGTGTAATGAATTGTGAATCTTCTTGCCCTGTTGAACCCTTACCGAAAACTGATCATTGGCTCTCTGATGTCTTACTTGATATATTTTCCTCTGAAGCTGTCACTAATCATGATTGTGGACAAGATAAATTGCATTATTCCAAAGCAGAAATACGACATTTTATTAAAATGCTTCGATTGGCTAAATCTGCAATAAAGATTCATCTAGAATCAAACAAAAGTCTACACGAAGGAGTAGATGCAAAACATAAGAGTTCTCGTAAATCAATGACATCATCATTACTTGATTTATTACACAACGGCATCGATAAAGGTTAGTTTCTATGATATTCCTAAACAGATTCCCCTTTTATTTAGTAGTTTTAAATGAGTAGTCGTAAAAATAAATCCTCAAATTACAGAGTAATAGTGAATAAGTAGATTACATTAACTACTTGAGGCTGATACTCGCACTAAAACAGTGGTCACTTTTGAACTTTTTTTCTCATTATATCTGTATATTTTAGTCGACACGTTTACTAATTGTCGACTAGTGCTCATTCTCTTGACTAATTACAGATGATGAGCTTAGATCTCACTTGCTTAGCAGTTTAGGTTATGCCAAAGGCACCCAATACCTTATTTGGTTATAATCATCCTTAAATTACGGGGACATCTACTACAATAATAGCTTATCATTAGGTTATCCAAAATGTCTCACTTAATTCCAAGCGGGGTCATAAACCATTATTGTGTCATTTATCATTGCTGTGTATAATTTCAATATAGATCAATTTGAACAAAGTGAAAAGAAAGATAGCACATCAAAACAAATGGGCTTTCCCCCTTTATCCGAATAATTTATTATTTATCTCATTGCATTGGACTACATTCCTAGAGTTCGAGCGATTCACTCAGGGATAAATAATCAACTCGGAGGTTGAGTGTTGTGATATTGTCCGCTTTCCTTTCTCAAGCTTCAAGCGATTATATTAACCAACACGTCATCTGTGTGATAAATTGCCATCAGTTATGCAAATGTTTGTCTTACAGTCTACTATGCGTCTTGTTATTTTCCATTCTTTTTAATGTATTAATCAAATTTTCCATCTTGCAACAATTTTCTTTCGCACTGCAGCTTTACCACTTTTAGTTGCCTCATTATCTCACTCGGCTGCAACTGTTCGTGTGGCAGCATTTGATATCCTACGACTGTTGTTTCAAGAGAATCCATCAAAGAGTATTACTAGCGGATCAAATTTTTCTACCTTCTGTACTGCTGTTAATTTAACGTCAAATTTTGCTGTTCAGATAGATGAATTGTTCTCTGATGAAGTTAGAGAACTACTTCTAGGTGATCCACTGCATTTGTTGGACAAAGCAGCTTCCCTTTTGATCAAAGGTGTTGTTCGTCTGTTATTTAGGTAAGTCTATGAATATATAACAAAGCGTAACTATAGAATTATTACTGATGTAGGTGGTTGACTGTGTAGTGTTTTTCCACTGGTTCGTCTATGAAGATTATTTTCAGATTATTATGTGTTAATACACATGTAAAACTTGGGCGCTGTGGTGGTATATAGTTCCATATTCATTTGTTTATTAGATATATCACACAGTGAAACAGTATCATTTACCGGATGACGTTTTGAACACCATTTATTGTTCATAATCATATCAATTATAACCGCACGACTTCGAAACATGAATTTTATAGTTTTCTTTATTCTTTCCTATTCGTCGTAGGGGTAGTAGAATTTTCCAGATATCCGACTGAACAGGTGTTGAATGATTCCTATTACACGTATTTTCAGTTGATTCGATAAATAAGGTTTCCATTATCAACCCCCCCTGTCATATTAGATTTTAGAAGTGTCATCTTATCCCATCCTACTGCATGGTTGTGTGTAATTGCATGTAGCGAGCTGTTTAGCTGAACTGTTCTCCAGATTTCCTATCTTATGCGGGTCAACTAATCTAGATTTTGCCATGGCATTTTGTGCTCTGCTAGTCTGACTGACTCACCCCGTTCTACTACTTTCACCTATGTATTTGATCTGACAATCATTCCAGCAGGGTATTAGATAAACTAAATTGTCCTGTTTAATTGACTCCACAGGATCCTTTCATTGTCAAAGCTTGTTTCTAATTGAGTTTGTAAGTTTGAATGCCAGCCACTTTAATCCTTGCATTGTTAAGAATTCTCCGTAAGCTTTCTTAGGTTCTTTCGTTGTATGGAAGTACCATCGGTGATTTAAATTCCCTGTTGTTGGTGTCGTCATTATTTTGTGCATGTTTGACATGCATGTAGTCATTAATATTATCATTATCACTATCACTACTACTACTAATTTTATTTTTACATTTTCTTGCATAATTTCTGATTGATGTATCAAGGTAATTATTAAGTTTCAAAACTTCTCTTATACGCCACACATCCTGTCTTAGATTTTCCTTGGTGCTACTTAGTTTTTGTGCCCTATTACTTAAACATTTCACCATTCCTATTTTCACTGACATAAGATGGGATAATCGGAAGTTCAAATATCTGTTTGAATGTGTGGGTTTCCTGTAAACACTAGTGTTTAAATTTCCCATCTTTCGTTTTTATGTTACAATCTAACATTGGAAGCTCCCCTTCCTTACTTTCCAATCCAGAAGTGAATTGAATTGCTTCTACCTTCGAGATGATATGTTCGAAAAATCTGCTTATGTCCTGTGTTCTAAGTACGGTGAATGTGTAATCTACATACCTCCATCATACTTTTGGGACGGGGTTGAACGTTCCAATCGTTAAGTTTTCCCACCTATCCATGAATACATCTGGCACTATCGGGGGTATTGGTGAGCCCATGCCAACTCCCTTTGTTTGTATATTTTCCCGTGGAATTTAAATACTATGGAAGTCAGACATAGTAGCTCTCCTAGCATTATGTCCTCTAGTGGCACTTTTGTTCTAATTTCAAGTTCTTGATCAGAAACGAGTTCTTTTCTGAACGCTTCTATAGCCATAGTTATCGGTATACGTGTATATAAACTGACGATGTCAAAGTCAACCATTTTTTCCCTACTATTTAATTGTAAATTATGTAATCTGTGTTTTAGTTCATAAGACTTTGTTAGTCTAGATTTCGAATGGCTTCTAAGCGGATTTAACATCATAGCTAATTATTTAAGCAATTCATAAGTAGATGAATTTCTAGAATCAACTGTATGTCCAATAGGATATCCTAACTTATGAACTTTAACAACACTATACATCCTACTGGGGTTATTAGTTTTCGGCATTAAATTGAACCATTTAGACTCAATCAGAAACGGATTCATTTGGCGTATAAGGTCCGCTGTGGATTTCTTAACCTTATTCATAACGGTGTCTGTTGGTTTCTTAATTTCCTCATATGCTTCTGTTTGTATATGGGTATTCACCTCTAGATAGTCTAATTTGTCTAACATCACTTGTATTTCCTTTGTCTGATTTAGTGATTATTATATCCTTGTTACTCTTAAGGTGTTTTAGGGCTTCTATCTCTGGTTTTGCCAGGTCGGGCTTTCCTCTTTTTTGTCGTTTTAAAGTTAGTACACATTGTGCCCGTACTTCATCTGCCTCTGTTTTGTCTATCCTACTTAGTGCTATTTCTGTTTTAGGGATGACATCCTTAGGTTTCAACCCGTCTGCCGTTATGTTGAAATTTAGTCTCTTTTCTAATACACTTATTTCTGTTATGATGTCATGATGAAAATCCTAAACTGAACCCTGGGAATTAACTATTTAAAATAATAACTGATGCATGAGGAATTTCTTAATAGCTTGTAAATACACTTAGTTCAGTGTACATAGTTACTGTAATTCTTTTGAACAAGATTTTTTGTGTTTTGAATTTTAAAAGCGCACTTGTTCACGTAATGGCGATATTCTATTATGTATGATATGTTATTTTTCTCATAGTCAACCACTAAAACTGGATAATTCTGACGTTGAATCGGAGGATAAGTTTTCTACTATTTGTTGGATGTTTGGCCTCCGCTTACTGAGTGAAGAAACCATTGGTGAAATTCTACTCATCCCATGTAGTCAGTCAGAAGATTTTGTCAACGGATGGTCTGGTCTTTTAAGCGTGATACGTCGTTCACATAAATCGCTTCATGAGTTGCACCATATGTGTTTAGCACGTTTGAATAGTGGATTATTTATGTCTCTGGAGCACTTTACTGTTAAAAATGATCTAGGTAATCAAAAAACATCAGTTCTTCGAAGAACGTCCTGTTATATCCAGGGTAAGAACACACCAGGCATGGATACTTGCAATGGAGCTCAGTTTAAAATACTTGATGCATTGTATGATCTTGGTCATAGTGAACATGCTGATTTCGATTCTGTCCAGAAGGTATTCTCTCGTGTAAGTTACTAATTTTGACGTTTTACTCTTAAATTGTGTTACGAAGTGAAAATTTGTCATCTGTAAGGAGGGAATTTATTTTTATCATTTTGTTTAACAACAGTAGTCTCCAAACTGCTGCAAATATTTGCCGGGTACATCTATTGCGTATAAGTCTGCTGACTGAAGTCTACGAATGTAATCCTTGAATTATTAATGGAAGAAATGATAAATACGATTCAGACAAGTGTAGAAGCTTTCATTGAGGTACATGAACTCAGGTTCGTATATTGCAAAATGGCGCACAAAAAAATGAACAAAAGTAGAATGGCACTGCCATGTGCAGTTATTAGCATGAGAGGATTAACTGTTGATTATATAGAATCAGCGTCACACTAGGCGATTCTATAACACTTCAGCAACCCTCTTCAGAATTCGATAGGGGTTTATTGGTCGCACCATATATGTGTATATTGATCTTATTAATCTTTCGTAGGCCACTGAATGTTTATGCCAGGCTCATCTGAAAACTGATCTTTGCTCTAAGGTCATTGTAACTTTGAAATGCCTAACAGAGTTTCATAGATAGAGTAATGCATTATAGAATGCGAATTTCAGGCGACAGGTACAGGTTAACAAAGCACTTATAAGATTTTGCGTCCGTGAAAGTCGACTGCTTTCTTAAATGATTTTCTTAATCAGTGGACTGCGTGTAAAATATCGTTATCCATTTATTTAGTTATTAATCTAAATACTAATAATGTCCCAAAAGTAATGGAGGTAAATGGAAACATTTTAAACTGATGAAATTAGTATGCATCTTTGCTCTTGGTGTGCCAGGTGAATGAATACTAACTGTATGACCGCCGGTTAATAAGAGCTTTTCACGCTTCATGTGCTTGTTGATACTGGCGTTAACTCCCTTTCAATGATAAATACTCAGTTATTTTCTCAAAATATAACAATTTCAGAGCGGAAAAAATCTGCTTTGTGTTACCTGGCAATACGTCATCATGTTTTAAGGGGTCCATTGAATTCATACTATCAGGTAATTTTTATTAGGGTGGTTTTGTAACAATCAAATTATCTTGTATTGAAAAGCATAGGAATTTAATTCAAAGTATTTATTAGTAAAGTGATTGTGTGTGCAGTTCACATACCTACAATCAATCAGCTCTTTGTGCTACAATACGGGGGCATCTAGACTGTCGTGTTAGTCAGTTAGAACCCAATTACTGGGGGTCCAAGTATATAAGTCAAACTTGGCGTGTGAGAGCTGATAATACTACTCCATTGCCCAGGTTGAATTACCTGGAGCTGTATATTTTATTTGTATTGTTAATTGGTTCATTTGGTTCTACAAGTTTAAATTCCGTTGCACCTTCTCGTTGTTGAACATCAATGGTGATGTCATAATCCCTTCTGTTCCATTGTATAACTTACAGTACAATATAATTGATCTCCAAAATATAATGTTTAAGGGATTGTCTCCGGATCATTGGAAGATCAGTTTCTGAAGGCATTTCGTTTGGCTTTTTTTGTATTGTCTATTCTTAATTCAATGTATTACAAATAAGTTCTCATGCTTCAATGAATTTAGATTGGAAAACTTTACTGTCTTGTTTTTATGATATTATCTTTACAATTTATCCGTCTTTCTGCTTACAATACATGTATATGTTCTCTCATTTTTCAGCTAAATTTGAATGCAGGGCATTTTGATTACATGTTCATCAAATCAGACCCATCAAGAACAGTTCATGGTGATGATAGATCACTATTTGCTCGAGTTACTGAAGCGCGGTAGGTATTTTCATTATTACTTTTACTTACTGAATTACAAGTCACTTGTTTACCAAATTAATCTAATCCAGCAGGCAAGTAGGTAAAGGTTTGCCTGCCTTCTACTTGATAGCCAGCTTACCTCATATTATTTGGCTTCTTCAATATATATAAGTAGGATTAATTTTTTAACCCGTAGTGTAATTCAGTCGCTGATTATGTAAACACATCTCTCGTTGTTTACTGCGTTTAAACGATTGATTTTTGAACAGTCAAGTGTATGGTAGGCGTTGGTGGCACAACGGTTATGACTCACACCGACCATGCACATGGTCCGGGGTTCGATCCTCTGCCGACGCACACCTGATATCTATGGTCGGCCTGCACAATTTGGGCTACCGATATCCATGCTGAAAATTCCATACTTGTACCAAAAATACGGTGTGGAATCAAGCTGTAATCAAATCACAAATTAATGCTTATTTCCTGTTTAGGCTGTTTCAATTGACAGCTTATTGAATATTGCGATTATTTTCATTACCGAACGTTATCAGTTGTTAGTACGTTGATAATATTAGCATTTAGTAGTGATTATTTAGTGTCTTGGTTGTTTGTGGTAAGTCCGTCAACAAATACCACTGACAGAGAGTTATTCTCTTGCATGCAGCACAAGTTTGTTTTTGTTCTCAACTAACTATTATTACTGTTTTTTAGTTATGGTTATTTTAAAAGAAGTAATAAATAGCTTTTGTAAATTACTTTTCATTTAGGGAATCTCGTCGACGTAGTTTACGACTGCGTAAATTAAAACAACCTGATCTGAATAATGAATCACTTTCTGAAAAGATTCGTCTACGTTTCCTTAGTATGCTACTATCTATTCTTACGGAAGCTGTACCTCGATTACAATCGTGTGAAATTGCCGCTCTAGTCCAAAGCAAATCGAAATCCGGTGATTTGAACACATCGATAACAACATTAGAGACAAGATCACCAGGCGTTGATGGAAAGAAATCAAAAGATCAACATTTACCGATGAATGATTTAATTACTCCACTAGTCAATCATTTGACAAGGTAGGTGATGTCCTAAGATTGGATCTTATCATATGAACATTTATTTCTGAATACTTTGATACATCATCTTCTAATGGTCAGTGTACCTGTTGAGCAGATATTCTGATGCTTCCGTATCTTGTAAATACTGAACACAAATACTCTTCGCTGAATTTATTTTCTTTCCCATACACCCTCGTCCATTGTTGCATCGTTATATTTCTCTTCTGTCTGATATACATAATTGTTCGAAATGTCTGTCTGTCTGGATTCAACATAGAACTTGACACAACAACAGTTCGAGTTCCCACCTTCCAAGTAGCACACAAAGGTAGACAAGAAGATGAGTGAAGAGAATCAATAGAGTTTTGACAAGTATAAGAGTGAAACAGAATGAGTAATGGTAGAAAGGAATATGAAAGGTTAAAGAGACTGAATACATCTGCGCCATTGACAACGATTTTGAGCTATGTCGCCTATTGTCTTCAGCCATTGATTGATTCTTAGAGTCCCGAGGGCCCCAACCCGGAAGTCTGCATCTCCCTACCTGACTCAGTTTAACTGTCATGGATTTCATGGATTGATGCCATGCTTTTATTTGGCCACCACTTACTCTTTTCCAACCTGCACCTATATGAGCTAGTAATGTCCGTTGGGGGAGGCGATGGTTAGGCATGCGCAGCACGTGACCTAGCCATCTCAATCTATGTAACTTTATAGCTTCGCCGATTGATTTTCCCTCTTTGCCCAACACTACGCCTGACGTCAGCATTACTTACCTTATTATACCACCTAACGTGAGAAAGAGATCGTAGACATCTATGATCAAAAGTTCGAAATATGGTAGTGTGAACTAAAACATTTCTGTTTTAAGTCCTACGTTGATTCGTTAATTAGGTAGATAGTCAGTCATCTAGTCCGTAAGAATGTTATTCTTTATTCTAAATGCAGGGTTTTTCAGGTATCAGTATAGATCCAAGTTTTTGAATGTCAGTGAACATGGTAGTTCAGGTAGTGTTATATGGGAGTATCATAAATCTTGTTTAACTTTAGGACTGTCTTTTATTTACAACTAATGGCCTTTATCATTCCTTATTTCATGATATCTTGTGTAACTGTCAGTGAATGTTGAAAACGGATTGCTCCTATTATTCTCAAGCTAATGTATTAGTACTGAGACTATGCTGAGAATCATTCAATAAGCTACTGCTGCACACTTCATCTCACAATTTTTTTTATCTAGTTCATTTAACGCTTTCGTGCTGTCATCGTTTTTTTTTCAACCTAATTTTTAGCTTGTTAAATATGGAGCAACATATCAAACAGTCAGCATCTAGTGCTAATCAAACAAACCTTATTGAAGGGTCAGATACAGATAGTGATTTAGAATCCCTTCCTGGTAGTATTTCTGACATTCATTTGGATCAAGAGTCAGTTGACATATCACCTGGTGGTAGTGATGAAGACACTTGTATTCGACCTCTTTTACGTCAGTGTGTTTACAAACTCTTGGTATGCATTACAGCTATCCTAGCTGAAGGAAATCGAATCAAACCACCTCGTAGAAAACGTTCTTATTGGAAGACATCAACTGATCATATGGGTTTACTTTATGGATTAGCTGCTGCACAAGTTGCTGTTGATCCAATATTCCTTTGTCTCACTATATATCCTGATTGGCCAGCTTTACATCAACAAGTTCTACTTTGTTTCATTGAATTATCACTTATGTTTCCTGTAAGTTTCTATTTATTTACTTATTTACTGATAAACTGGTGATTGGTATAGTTTTGGAAAAAAGTAAAGTTTATTTCCCCCTTAATAGTCGGATTCTGAAACATTTTTATTATCTCAATATGGGTTTGTTTATGTGAAATTGTTAGACGGATACTTTTGATTAGACACTAGTCAGTCACTAGTATCCATCTAATATCAACAACTTGAAGTGCACCGTGATGGCAAGCCACCTAGAATGCTGGCCACATTGCAAACTTGACTGATAGGATTCATTCTGCACCAAATAAAGGAGTAGACACACTACATTTTTTTTCCCTTCACGTTCCCCAGTGGAACATAGGGCTTCAAGCTAGTGGCTTGAAGTTTCTGTAGCAGTGTTTATTTTACAGGATGGGGTTGCTAGCCTCATGCCCAACCTTTCCTCTTCACCAGAATTATTAATCGCTTAGCGAGGTAAAGGAGTGCGTCGGCCGGGGATCGAACCCCGGACCATGTGCATGGTCGGCGAGACACACTACACTAGTTACTAACAATTGTGCAGTTAAAGTATCCAGTAATGTCCTACAGGAGGCAAGTCGTGACCCCGAATAGCTCAATGGTAACGCTTCTGATTGCATCACCCAGTGATACAGGTTCGGATCTCAGAAGGGACATGAGTTCCTTCAGAGTAGCAGGTACTCCTTGCTGACTCCTGAGTGCCAGCTATCACGAAACCTAGGTCGAAGGCTTCCTGTCGACTGCCTCCAATCATCTGATATCAATTTGTAGAATAGGTGGTGAAGTTACAGAGATTTTGTTCCCTAGTACTTGGGATAATCTTTACTGTTAACTTTCTTGTTTGGTACATTTTTCCGATATGCTTTACGCGGACTTGTCTCATTTTGTTTCACATCACTGGTAATTATTGTCTAGTTTATTGGAAACATTTGTGGATTTAAGGGCCTGGGAAGCACAGTTTGTGGATATTTCTATACTTTAAGAGGTTTCTTATCATGAGCTTACATCAATTAGAGAACCATTAGGAAACCTGGGAGTACTGAATAGCTGTTTCATCCTAGTTTGGGATTTTTCAACAGAACGCACCCACACTTCAGGGTTGGAACGCAGGGCCTTCCAGTTATGAGGCAAGTTTGTAGACTATTAAGCCACTATGACCCTGTCAAATGGCCAGTGCATGAATCCTAACTTCTTCCAATTCACCATATGGCGCGACCACTAGCTCATGTCGTCGACGAGTATTTGTCCTCACACCCGACCTGTTGTACCCCACGGGTCACGGCTTCCCAATAAAAGTCAGTTAACTACCTACCTGAATAGAACCAGTCTCTAGTGAGCATCAGATTGCTATTCAAGTGCTGGTTTGCGGGAGTTTGATTTGTCACAGCAACTCATCAGTCCAGTGCTGTCCAGTACTCCCAGGTTTTCCAATGGTTCTCTAACTTATGTCAACTAATGATGAGATCGTGTAACATATCAAATGCCCATTAACCAACATTTGAATTGTTTTTGTGTTGACTTGTTGTTATTTTCTTGTCGTGATTTTAATTAATTTTCATGTATTGTCAACAGGTAATTAGTGCTACCTTCTAACTGTGTTTTCTAATAGCCTACTCATTACCTGTGTTAGTTTTGAGCTTTTCTTTTTATCACATTTTGTTCTAAGCTTTTATTTATTATTATTCCCCTGGGTTCGGAGTGGAATATAAGGCTTTAGCAGCACGTCTCCATTTTGTCCTCTTTAACTGACCCCACGATTGTCCATGAGCTTTCATTTCTTCCTCACACGATCTCCTCCATGTTACCTTCAGACCCACGCCCAACTCGTCGTTTCCCACTCAGGTTGCTGTGGCGGGCGATGTCACCTGATGGTCTTCTCAGCGTATATCGGATCCATCTCCATTTTCAGCCTTTGTTACACATAACTGAGCATAAACTTTTGCATTGTGTGCCTATTTACTGATCTTGAATTTCACCATGATATTTCGCACTAGGCTGGATATCGAGGTTTCGTATTTATATTTTGGTGACACGTTTTAAATGTTGTTGTCTAGTAATGTCTGGTAAATCTATTTTTTTGTATCCTACTTTATAAATGTTCTGAGTTGCACACACGAAGTTGTCAGTTATATAAATTGATATTATGAATCCTTAGGCTTTCTTACACCATTGCCTCAATATTATTATGTCCTGGTTAAAGAGTATGAAAATGAAACACACCTTGTAGCTATATTAATGTCAGCATAGTGTATAAATCATGATTCACCAAACTCATAGATGTACATTCCTACAACCTCACCGAGGATAACACATTATGCTCACGATTAGGGCAGGTGGTGTCATTGACGATGATAATCCATTGTCTTCATATGGGTTTAACTTTGTATTGAAATGTTGTGTGATGTGGACAGGAGTTAAGGGTATTGGCCAGTCGAGAAAATCCTTGCATTATATTTTTAAAAGACGATTGGTTAAAAAAGTGAATAGCCTTTGCTGTTGCTATTAGCCTTAAGTTAGTTTGTAATTTGTAAGGACTCTGTTACTCAGTGCCAGGCGATCAGTCAAAATTAATGTGTGAGGACTGATATTGCTACCTAGTTATCCCAGGCTTAAGTAGATGGAGTTGGATTGGAACTCCGTTACCCCACTGACAAGAGGCAATGAGACACATTTCCACAGTACTTCAGAACTTCTATTTGTGATTTGAGGTTTCATAAAACAGCTGTTCATTCACAGCTTTTTAGTTAGCTATGGTGATTACTGATTTCTATTTCGTCAAATGTTCAAAGTGAAGTCGACATTATCGTCATCGAATGAGCTTAAAACGATGTGTGTTTTACGTAGTATGTGAAATATGATCGTGATTAGCAAATATACCCGTCTAATGTAGTAGTAGTAGTTCAAATTTAATACTTAGCTTTATAAAGATCAAAATTTTTAATCTTTTTATGCAATATTTTTACGTTTTGTTTTTGTATTTTCTTCTTAGAGCGCACTATGTCAGCATTTAGTGTCTTTAGTGCAATGGGTAGCGTGCAATCGTCAACTTATGCGTTTGGATAATGCACATAATCTCAGTATCTTAGGACGTCTTATATTGGTAACTGTCCCTGCACTCATCCGAGCATCATCCGAGCAAATTTCTACTGGTCTTTATGTTCTCTACCTGTTTGTGATGAGATTCTCTGAATTTTCTAGTAATTTGAGTCGTCGTCGACTAGCACTGTATACAGTTCTGGTGCGTGGTTTGTCTCAAGTAACTGGTCCATTTATGACAGATAGTGAAATCAACCGGGGTGTTTTGCCAAAGTCGTCACTCACAGATGAAGAAAAATCCAGCAAAAAGATGGATACTTCTGACCGTGCAGTTGAAACAAAGATCTCATTACGTCCAAAAGATAGTTGGCTTGGTAGTTGGTTATGGGTGTCATCGTTAATATTTTTGAATAAAAATTGGCAGACACAATCAGTTGGTAAGTTCAAAATGGTGAATATAAGCTGGGATTTCTTTCAAGTAGATTAATGGACTCCAGATGTATGTTATTTATCCTATTAATTGTTTAGTACCTTCAAAGAACTTGCTGATTGATCACTCACTATAAAACTCTGTATAAACTGCCACTTTTGTATTTGAATCTTTAAAAATTTAGAGTGGAACAGTTTGCCCAGTTGTTGGGATATTAGATAGAGTAATAAATTCAGTATTTAATGAGACATTCTAAGTTGTCATTGACGACATGACAAGACTTGTTCAGTCTCACTCGTGAAGTCATTCATAAGTTGAAATGCTATTTATTACTAGAGTATTTGCACTTTTATACATCTCGATTCTTGTGTTCCTAGTGGAGCACAGAGCTTCAAGCTCTGAAGTTTCAGTGACCGTGGTTTTGTTGTTGTGGAGTTGACTGCTTCAGGTCCAACCTTTCCTCTTTTTTTTGGGCTTATTATCGGCAAGGAAACTAGTCGAGGTTTAAGAGTGCGTCGGTCGAGATTCGAACCCTGGACCACATGCGTTGCTGGTGAGCATTCCACCATTGAGTCACCAACACACATGTTTGCAGAATGTATCTAGCTACTGGAAGTAGACGGAGCATACATTTTCTGCAGGATACAGATATGTCTTGTTATGCGCAACTATTCAGTACGAAATATAGAATTATATGGAAATAAGGATTATCTAACGACTGACAGCAGCACATAGTTAACAGATAATTCAGTGAACTAGCCGCATACTTCGGTAAACACTGCTGATCCAACAGTTGTGAATACGACATTGTGTGTCGTTCATCACTTTGACAGATTTCATGTCCGATCACGAACTGACTGCAGTTATAGAGCCATGAAACACCAGACAGTACTGGATAGGTGTTTTCTGATAGTTTGAGGCTTCCCCACGGTACTCTCCCATGACCCCACCAGGGCTTGAACGCGACACATTCAGGTCAGAACTGTCCAGTACTTCCTTGTTTTCAGTGGTTCTCTAACTAAAGTCAATTCGTGATCAAACTTGGAGTTTGACAGTATCGTTATGAGTAGAATTTGCCGCAGTTCTGTCATCAAGGTTAAAACTAACCAAATGAATTCAGATATCGATATCGGTTCTGTTTTAATCTCATAGGTAAAATGATTTATAACTCAAATTTAGGACAGCTTGTAATTTTCAGATTATCACTAGCTCGTGGTAACCAATTTCTGTTTTTCTTGTTTTTTTGTCTTTTCTAGCTGATGAAGTTGGACCTTTTCTTATCGATTTATTTTGTCATTTTGGATGGGATCATCAAGTGGTTGGATTATGTGAATGTATAGATTTCCTGATATATTTATGTACTAATTCTTGTGATTATAAAATTCATGAAGTAAGTTATTCTAGAAAGTATAATTTCCACACATTACTAGTTATTTCCCTCTTCCTGTGTTTCTACATTATTATAAACCTATTTAACTTACTATAAAAATAGCTGTAAGTTAAAAAGGAACGTTTCATTTTGGTAAACTCGTTTGCGAACACGTATTATGAAGGATGGAATAGTGGAAAACTAGTTTTTAGTTGAAGCATACTAAATAATAAATTGCAAGTTACTGGATCTGACCAGTTATTTTAGACTAGGAAACCATGATGAATGTTAAGAAGTGAGAAACTGAGTTTGTACAGAGGAGTTTCCCAGAAACAGGGACCGCATAAACTATACATTCCTATATATTGCTCCTAAAGTTGAGATTCAGTGCAGTTAGAATGGCAAGATTATTAAGGAGTCGCTTGCCACCTTTGCTGGGAAAGAAGACCTCTACGCCTTCATGCTGCGACTTACCATCTACATCTACTTAATGTTTGGATTATTCCTGAAAGTGTTGGCTATTCATAACGATCGCTTCACCAATTCTTTTGTTTTTATGGTCTCACTTAGCTTTGGCTTATTTAAAAGTTTTTATAATGACTAACTCCTTATTGATTATAGTATAAACAGTGGTTGTAATTTTCGTAATTTTTGAGGAAAACTGACTGTGATGATTTTACATTTTTTTATTCCTTTACATTCCCAGTGGAGCCTAGGGCTTCAAGCCTCTAGCTTGAAGTTTCTGTAGCGGTGGTTATTATTTTTCCAGGATGGGGTTGCTAGCCTCATGCCCAACCTTCCCTCTTTAGCAGTATCATTACTGGCTTAGCGAGGTAAAGGAGTGTGTCGGCCAAGGATTGAACCCGGAACCACCTGCGAGGTTGGTGAGCATTCTACCACTGTACCACTGACGCACGATTTTTCATTTAAACCTGAGAAAACTCCTAAGCGAAGATATTGTTTTATTTTTATTCTATCTTGATAGTCCTGGTAAGATCTTATGCAAGATGTCAAGGGATTTCTAAAATGGGACAGTTGCACTGAAGTCTGTAATAGTTGTTAAACTGGTTTATTCCCGTGAATGTAGGTGTGTCAACTCCTCTTTCTATAAATTGACTAATTAGTGTTTTTGCTTGGCAAATACAACAAGGATGACTGAGCTTGTAATAATATTCAATTTTTCATCTAGGCGTTTTGAATGTATTCATTAAGATCAGTGCAGTTCGTTTTTGTAATGTTCTGGCACATTAAGTATAACTGTTCTTACAGTTTCTAAACATTGTAGTTGATAATGATTTCCATCGATAGTGTAATCATTGGCACAGATTGCCGTCATTATTCTGAACGAGTAACTATAACAGTGCTCATACTAGTTATATTTTACTTTATAGTCTACTAGGAGAGTGAATATTTCTCAGAATGAAGTGTTTAGATTACTGAGATGTTTTAGTTTCTTTTGTAATAAAGTGCATTCAGGTACTTGTGTGTGGCATGTTCTACTGACAAGATTTATCAGTAGTATATGAAGAGACGTTCACTGGCACGAAAACATCAATTGGCGGAGAGATTGATTTGATGTCAGAGAGAAAAAATTAACCAGTATTGCAGCAAAATATGGGTAAAATGAAAAGAAGACAAAGAAACACAATACGAAGGACAGAATTAGCACAACACGGAAGATCTGTGCAAATAACGGAATTCATATATGGTATACATATTCCCCCTTGCAAATTGCAAGTAGTAAACATTCCGTTACCAAGTCTGTTGTCTTCAATGCTCTTAATTACTATAAAATCAAATCAAGCTGAAAGATGTGTGTAAAGTAAACTCAAGCGACTCGTCGCGCATAAGCACTGCGCGCAAGGATCCAGCATCATAACAACTTCATTTCGGCGTTGCATAGTACTAGCCATCTTAACATACATGAGGTCTCCAGTTAGACTTAAATGACACCGGCTTACATTTGCGGCTATTTCAAAGTTATTGCTTACATGTTTCTTTTTGTCTACTTCATTTTTCTTCTCCAGATCACTGGATCAGAAAGTTCCACTGCTTTTTGCATAGAAATTGAACAACCTAAAAAACGACGAAAGTTAAGCGCATCCTATGTGAATCCGAATGAGTCGCCAACAAATAACTCCCAGCTTGTTGTACTTGAGTCTCAGTCAAATGAGAATGATACACATTCACCAACATCATTTAGTCAATTGGCATCTTTTATTTTCAATTCAGACAAAGTATACCAGACAAATGAAACAGTATCTAAGATTCTTACTATGCCAGCTGTTGTTACCTTGAGTGATATATGGTCTTTAGTCAATCGAACTGTTCAGTTCATTGCTGTATTGATAAAAAATCCTGATTATTGTGCTAAAGTTCAAGAGGCTTTTAAAGATCCTTCAGGTTTAAGTGCTGTTTATGGCCGACTAGTTGAACATATCGTTCAATTAATGCTGATTGTAGCTACTTTCTCTACAAAAGTTAAAAAGTCTGGGGAAAAAGTATCAGAGGTTATTACTTGTTCTGATGAAGCATTGTCTGCTCTACAATCAATTTTAGTTCAAGTTAGTTTACTATTTATTTTATTTCATTACATCATAATTTGTTAGTTTTTATGAACATAATTATTTTATCCTTTTTTTAAATATGCCAATTATCACCATCCGGAGGTCCGTAAGGATCATAACCAAATTCTGGAGTTCATAGTTTGAATTAATTCATTAAGCTGTCTAAAGAATATGAATTATTCCTTCTTATAGTTTAGGAAAGCTAAAAACAGTTAGTGTTAACTTTGGGTTTGCTTTACAACTTTTTATAAATTTTTTTGATTTTGTTCCTTTACGTCCCCAGTAGAACATAGAGCTTCAAGCTAGAGCTTTGATGTCTCGGTGTCAGTGGTTTTAATTTTTACAGGGTGAAGTTGCTAGCCTTATGTCTAACCTTCCCTCTTTGCCGGTCCTATTACCGTCTTAGTGAGGTTTAGAAGTGCGTCGGCCGGGAATTGAAACCCCGGGCCACAAGCTTGGTTGGCAAGCGTTCTACCGCCGACTCACAACTTTTCATGGGAGTTTATTTAGCGCCTTAGTGGGGTAGGTGCTTAACTCTATGAGATTATACTGTGTAGATCTGTAATGTTGTCGGATGAGATTAGGCAAACTGAATTGAGGCACGATATAGCAATAGTTAGCTATAACGTACCTGTGTGGTTGGGAGGATTCAGTCTCATCAACTTACAATCACGGTTATTCAACTGACTGTAGTCACCAGTGACCAGTTTCCTTAAAAATTTCTATGTGTACTGCAAATTATGCGACTGCATAAGTGTGCATATATATATATATATTCCCAATGGAAGTATATATATATTACTTGGCCAGTTTATAAACTGCCATATGGTTATTAGGTTTTAAAAATTCCAGCCTGATTTATTCTTTTGTACAAATCAATTCATCCCATCGATATTGTGGAGTTGTGGCTCGTTAGCGGAAGCACTAGGCTTTCTGCCAACGCATCCCGGGTTCGAATCCCGTCACACCTTTTCATTCTAGGCGACTGGGTAGTATCATCAACCTGTGTACAATAAGTGTATGACGCATAGTCTGAACTGTGAAAAACCTGTTGCAGGGACTGAGTTATGCGTATTAAGTTTGGTTCAGTTGAATACATTCGATTAGAAATCTAAGCTACTCTCGATTGCTTACAATTTTTCAGCGATCTGATCATATATCTGTTTTATTCATAAAGTGTTTTTTTGTCAAAGCTTTATTCAACTGGATTATTTCAATTGGTTTTTCATTTTTTAGTTATCGATATACATAAAGTTTGATTTTCAATTCTCCTTTATTTCTTTGCACAGATCTTAGACTCTGTACCTGGGCGAGTATTTATTTCAATGGTCTCCAGCTTATTTGCTTCAGATAATCGTGGACTTCGTCGTAAAGCATTAGATCTATTATCTGCTAAATTGTCAAACCTTACTGAGCGTATACATCCAGTTCCAATTTTAGTTGACTTCAATAAAATGAATTATAAATCTTACTTAAAATCTCACAAGCAGTTGATTAACCGAAATCATGTTAATTTGGATAATACATTGGAGACCGGTTTGGTTCAGTTTACTGGCAAACTGACATCATTCTATGGTGTGAAGAGTAATCAGCTAAATGATGGTCAAATACAGAAGACTACCACTGTCTTTGGTTCGCCATTCTCTCGTCAGTGCCTGGCATGTCTGAGAAGTTTAGCCAAATTGCTAGCTTACCGATATCCCGGAGAATTCATGCGTGTAAGTTTCCATACATCATCTGTTGTCTTGGGCGTGTGTTTTTATTTAAGAAAAAGCATTAGAAAGCTACCAGTCAGATCACCATATTATTATTATCATTATTATTGTTTCCTTTGATTCCTAGAGGAACATAGGGCTTCAGCCGTGCGTCTCCATTGCGTTCGGTTCTCTGCTAGAGTGTTCACTTGGCTCTAAGTCTGCCTACACGTTCTCATCTCCTCTTCACATGACCTCCTCCATGTCACCCTTTCACTGACGACCAACTCGCCGCTTCCCTTTCGGGTTCCACTCGAGCAATGGCTTGTCTAGTGATGTCACTTGATGGTTTCCTCAGAGTATGGCCGATCCAATCCATCTCCATTTCTTCCTGCCTATTTGTTTCACAATCAGTTCCTGGTTGGTTTGCTCATTGCCAGAGATCCCTGTTGCTGATCTTTTCTGGCCATCTGACCTTGAGTATTGAGCGAAGACAACTGTTAATGAGAGTCATTAGTTTATTTGAGATGCTCTTTATGACGCGCCAAGTCTCTGATCCGTATAGTAGCACTGACTTCACATTGGAGTTGAAAATCCGGATCTTATTTTTGATGCTGAGTGTTGTTGACCTCCACACAGACTTGAGAGTAGTGAAAGCATGTGTTGCTTTTCCGATTCTTGCTTTGATATTTTTTGATGACCTTGACGCGCTTTTCGATTACTACGTTACATTAACATAGTTACATAAAACTCTTATTTTTGTGAAATATCTTGTCAGATCACCATATGTCTAACCTTACTGTGTTACAGAACTGCAAGGAAATAAGTTTTGTGCATATTATTTTACTTATATCACAGTTTTTAAGTTGAACGGCCTCCTAAAGCCGTAGTTATTGAAGGAAAAATACGATCATTACTTGTCCTTTGCAATTTGCTTCGGTATCCATTTTCTTACATATTCTTTCATAAAATATTTGCAACCTTAAGAGTTCTCCTTTATGCACTTAATTTTAGGCTTTGGATAGTTTAATGTCTATTCCCGGCAATTGGTGGATATCTGTTGGGCCCACAGAAACTCCAGAAAATCCCAGCGATACTGGCCAGACTACAAATTCACGCAGTCTCCCCTCTGGATCATCTTTAGCCGAGTCACGATCTTTGGCTTGTTTGTTCTTTGTCGAATGTCTTCAACGTTTACCTCCACAATCCTTATATCCAGAAGCTAGTGCAACTGCATCCCGTTTGGGCTGGTTACTTTCCTTTGCTTTAGACCATGCCTGTACATGTACATCATTTATCCCTTCACCAAAATTATCAGCAAAGCGTCATGGTTTTGTAAACTCTCCACATAAATCAGAACATCAGTGTACATTAATCACTGGTTCAATGCATTCACGAGATCAACATCTATTGGTAAGATAATATTTCTAATTGATACGTTTGATTAATGGTATAGTGAAATAGTAGAGGAATGTTTGTTATCGAAAATTTTTCTTACTGGGTTTCTTTATAATCGACTGAAATTGTCCAAGATATAAAAACGTCGAAAAATCATAATTATAAAACGAAAACAAAGACTAAAAAGGCTACATTTGTAATCCGAAGCTTCACACGAGATGTTATGATTATCTAAGTTTCTGTCTATGGTTAAATATAATGGTGGTCTTCTGCAGGTTTAAAAAAAGTTATTTATGACCAGTACTTTAAAATGGCTACAGTGCATATCTGTTAAACATTGTGTAAGATAATATTTTAGCTAGACGGATTTATCAGCTTAAGTACTCAACTTTCAACCAACGGGCTACGTCTACTTCAGCCTGGAAAGCTGGGTAGTAACAGTAGTTCCCACACAAATATATGTGGCATATAGCCTGGCACATAAAAAATCTTTTTTAAATGATGAAGTTCTGACTATTAATGTAAGGTATAGAACCTGGGCATTGTGGTAGAATGTCTGACTGACTCAATGACCGGTTTCAACAAAGAACTTTCCACCGATGTGCAGCAGTTCGAGTCGCCACACTCTACGTAGCACAAAGTCAGAGAAGAAAGTAAAAAGAAACGCAAAACAGAGACAGTAAACAGAGATATGAGGCAAAAAGAAGAGCAATATAGAAGAACAATATATATTAATTGGGCATTATAAGTCATAAAGAGTGGATGCATCTGCACCAGCCATTGAGAACGATTTTGAGCTATATCACCATATGTCTCCAGGCATTGGTCCTTACCATCCCGAGGATCCTAACCGCTAAGTCTACATCTTCCTACGTGGATAAAACTAACTGTTGTGGATTTGATTGACTGATGAAGCCATATCGTGGTTTGACCACCAATAACCTTCTCTTTTCCAACCTGACCCTATGTTAGCTAACATTACCTGTTGTCGAGGAAGGCGATAACTAAGCATGCGTAACACATGTCCTAACCGTCTCATCTAGGTTACTTCATGGCCTCGTCGATTGATTTCCCCTCCTTACGTAACACTCGGCCGAAGCCTCACCTCAGCATTGCTCACCCTATTATACCACTTCATACGGAAGATAGAACGCAAGCGCCTATGATCGAAGACAGCTAGCTAGGCTTTTCTTGTCTTCCACTCTCAATGGCCATGTCTTGCCCACAGCCATAAAGGAGGACGGAGCGGACTGCTGAGCAGTACACACGTCCTTTGATCGCTAGTCATCCGGATATCACGTCCACCAAGCAAGAGATGGCGTAGGTTGGCATATGCCCAACGAGCCTTCAGCATCCATGCTGAGATTTCGTCAACGATCAACCCGCTGGCTTTGGCTGATGCAACTTCCCAACACGCTCTACCACTTAACTCCCTGTCTTTAAGCTAGGAGTAGTCGATGTAGTCCAGTCCTGTAGCATCATCTTACATCTGACAGCAGGAGCGAATCGCATGCCAAACATTCAATGACTGCTCGCTGCTGAAGGTGTTCAGAAGCCTGCTGTATTTTGTCAGCATTTTCACATAGAAGGACTATATCATCTGCACATTCGAAGTCGACGAGATTATTCCCATCCTGGTAACAAGTCAATAACTGAGTCGCTGAAGTAATGTAATTCTATATCAAATAAGTTAATTTCCAATATCATAGTGATGCAGTCTTAATAACTGGATGACGTTTCGAGCAGAATTTATTGCTTGTAATCATATCGATTGAGCTTCTGGCCAGCCTCAACTGAACAAGACTAATACGTGTGTCCACCAATGAACTGATATTCACCCCCATCTTTCAAAAGTTAGTAGCCTTCAATTCACTAAGACTGCTGGTATTCGAATCAATTGTTACTTTCAGGACTGTGCAGTAAAGTGGAAGAGTGAATGAGTTTAAATTTTATTTTTATTTTCATTCATCAATTTAATTAAAGAGTTGTTTATCTGTTGTGATAAATTGTATCCTTGAGTTAGCGATTTTCTGAAGTGGCACGTTTTTCCTTGAATCTGAATGTTCAACTGTGAAGATTGTTGGTCTCTCATCATTTGGTGTACAGGGAGTATTTAGTTAGATTTTCCCTGACCCCCTTGTTTTAAGTTAAGAACAATACAATTCTTATTAGTGTGAAAATTATGCATTTTTATATTGATCATTTCATTCTACTGAAGTATATTTTTAAAATAATATTTTCTATTCAGGCAAGTTTAACACTGATCAGTAATCTACTAGAAATAGCTATTATTCATCGGCTATGCTATCAATCGAAAAACAATCATACACCAGATGATACAGAGTCAGCGATCGGTAAGTGGTTAGAATTCGGAATAGCAACGAAAAAGAAGCCGACACATTCTCCAGTTGCTGAATCTGCTGCCATCACATTATTGAGCTTGTTGTTTCAACTTCGAAAAGACAATTTATCTGTCCTTACTAACAGTAATCCAGAACGTTGTGGTCATATACTTCGTCAGATTGCCAATCTTGTTGACCATACTCAGTAAGTGTTATAAAATCTTTTGATAAAATATATTTGAATTTATTGTATTTGTATAATTCTCACGATGAGAACGAGTGACCGTGTAGATCATCTTCGCTATCACCTAACCTAGATTTATGGCGATAGTAGTGTTTATCCCTTAAAAAAAAACAGCAGCAACTGAGAATGTTTGTTGGCAGATTCAAGTGTACACTGCAAATGCTTCTCAAATGATTAACTTTTGAGTAACTTTCATTTGGAAGCCAATGCTGAACTAATAAAGTTCTAAAAAGTGTCGAACAGTATAGATTGGAAAATTTCTGACACGCCTTTATTTGTAGATTTGTTCACATTGGTTATCTTTTTTAAAAATGAAGTGTTTTAGAATTGTAGTGTAACTTGTTCGTAGTTATGTCAACAACTCACTTCTATAATAAAGAATATCCATATAATTGTATTTTTTTCGCATGTTTGTGTGTTTACAGTCAACTTCTCCGTCACGTAACAGAAATCAGTTACCTACTTACAACAATACAACGTGTAATTGAAAAAGCCTCAAAAGAAAGTAATAATGTAAGTGTTCACACTTCGATTTTCGTTGATTGTAATAACATTCTTATGAATTTTGTGTAGGTAGTCGTCTCTTATTTTTTGTGTGTTGACGTTTCTTTAGCGGTTTGATAGGTTTATTGGTGTAGCGTTTCTATCTCTACGCCGAATCCTCCCTCTTTACCCGGGGTTGGGACCGGCTAGAAAACTAACAAGCTAGTTAACTAGGGGACAATAACAACCAGCACCAATCGCCATCATCGGGAAGGATTTAACAGAGGTTACATGCTTCACTTATCTAGGAAGCGTGGTTTCAACTACAGGTAGAACGGATGAAGATGTCAAGGCCAGTGAGAATCGGAAAGGCAAGATACGTCTTCATCAACCTGAAATCAATCTGGAAATCTTCTGCACTCAGCTAGCACAAAGAACAAGATTCGGATTTTCAACACCAATATCAAGTCGGTCCTTCTATACGGGTCAGAAACTTGCACTGCGTGTCACGAAAAACATTTCCAACAGGTTGCAGGCTTTCATCAACAGCTGCCCACTTCGCTGGCTGGCTCCATACTGAAGATCAAATGGCGAGAGAGAATTAGTAACAAGAAACTCTGACTGAGAACAAGCCAAGAACCAATCGCTCAATCAATATGTAGGTGAAAGTGGAGATGGATCAGGCATATATTGAGGAGAATGACATCGCGCTGAATGCAGGCCATCGCTCGAGTGGAATACCAATGGGAAGCGACGAGTGCGTCGTCAATGCGAGGATGACATAGAGTACATCATGTGAATTGAAGTAGGAAATAAGATATAATGGTCAATCGTGTGGCTAACCGGTTGAAGAGGAGAGCACAGAATAGAACAGAGTAGATATGTGCTGCTGAAGCCGTATGTTCCGCTCGGAACTCAAGGGAATAATAAATAATAATAATCCTCTCTTAAATGTACTTCAACAATCCGGTTTATATACACCAAAACTGCTGTTCTACTGGATATTATGGGGAGAAATGTTTTGCAGCATTAGACAGATCAGTGCATTTCATTATCACTTATGTTCTTAGGAAAGTTAAAAATTTGATAGGCACAATACTATGAAATATACGTTACGTAATATATTAGATTAATTTCATACAGCCGGTTCCCTTTATTATAGTTTGAATAAAGAAAGGACGAACATATTTGCAGGATAATACGAGCTCATTTTATTTCGAGGATTCTCTTCAACTGTGTACATTCAAGTGCACTGGAGTTTGTGCACATAAATGAGAAATCTGACTCGCTAAATGACTGGCTGATTGAGTTTGAACATAGAAATCTGGACAGAAGTTCAGCAGTTCGCGTTCCCCCACTTCATTTGGCACACAAAGGTAGACACACTAGAGAGAAAGAGATTCAGGAGAACTAATTATCAGCAGAAATATGAGGGAAAAAATAGCTACATGAAAAAAACGCTGGGGTTTAATAGATATGGGGTATCACAAAGTGGGAATGCATCTGCGTCATTGAAAACGATTTTGAGCCATATCACCAATTGTATCCAGCTATTGTTTCTTGCCATCGCGAGAAACCCCGACCAGGCAGTCTACACCTCCCTACTTGGCTCAGATTAACTGTTAAAGATTTTGTGTAGTGATTCTAAGTTTTGGTATGACCACCTATAACTGCTTATCTTCATCTATTGGTGTGCTTATTGCCGTGTAATGCTTTTAAGTTTGATTATTTTAACTTGTAAATGTAATAAGTGTTGCAATATGGTGTGTAGTTATGTAGTCGTTTTTCTATGGGTGTGCTTCATTGTTCTTATGTTTGTTTGCTGGTATTTTATGAAGTTACTAATTTTTAAACAAAATGTTCTCGCATTGATTTTCAGATTATGTTACATGGCTCTCTATCGTTCTTATCCGATTTCGGAGAGTCTATGGCACCTGTTGAAGAAAATGGAACATTCACCTCAAAAGATGAAGGTCAACTTCATTCATTTTCAGTATTGCATGCAACACAACCAGATTTAATATGGCGTCTTCTTCGTACATGTTTGCGTTCAGTTGTTCACAGTATGATGAATACAGTCAACTTTGAGAATACTTCAGAACTAGAGAATAATGATATGCTAATATGTCTTTATCGATCTGTCGCTAGTCTTATCAGTTCCCTGCCAGATGAAGATGCACGTTTCAGAGTTTGTCAACAATTGTTTAACTGGAGTAATTCTCATAGCAGTGAAGTACAAACAGATTCTGCTGATGATGCTATGGAAAATGATGTAAATACCTTAGACGAGATGTTCGTACGACTATCAATTGTATTTAGGATAATGGAAAGGTATGTTATTTCTAATGTTTTACTTTTTTCCCCCGCCTAATATTTAACTTATCTGATCATGTAACCATTTTAACGCTAGTTTTCATATCCAGCATTTATGTGATCTCTGTTTTTGATACTTATTTCTTACTGAACTGTCTGTCAACTATATTTTTTTATAAGGTGTGAAGAATTGTCGTGAAGTTGTGAAGTGTCATTTAACTGAGTCACATAACTTTAAAGGGTTGATTTGTAGGGATTAGATTTGTTTTTCGAGTTCGACCACGGATTGATATCAGTTAGAGAACCATTGAAAATCAGGAAGTACTGGACAGCTGTTTCGTCCTAGTTTTGGACTCATCGGCAGTACACACCCACCACCACGGGTCGAACCCAGGACCTTCCAGTTACAAGGCAAGCTCGTATACCATTCAGCCACTGGTACCCAACTCAATGGCCCATGAATCCTAACTTCTACCGATTCGTGATTTAGCGCGACCACCAAACTGGAATGAAACAGCTGCCCAGTACTCCCTGATGGTTCTCAATGGTTCTCTAACTGATATCAATCCGTGGTCAAACTCGAAAAATAAATCTAATCCTTATAAATCAACTCTTGAAAATTAATCTGATGGTCGCTAGTGACTTGCTACAGGATGGAGTTTCCTGGAGTTCTAATGAAGAGTTGTGACCAGTGAGGTCCATCTAGTCGGAAATGAGGGTTTAGTCCCGCCGATCACATAACTTTGATTTGTTATACTGCATTTCATCCTGAAGAAATCAGATGTAAACTCTATTACTCCTTTGTGTTCCGGGGGAGAAATGGAGTTTCACACGTGAGATTTGGAGTTTCGGTAGCGTTCTTGTCTTGCTTTTTTTACGACGTTGGGTTGCTAGCCGAACAGGCAACCTCCCCTTTTTATTATCGGGCTTACTAACAGCTAAGTAAGGTCTGAGAGTATGTCGACTGGGAACATCGAATCTGGACCATTTGTGTATGGTTGAACCGCCGACGCATTAAGACATTATTTTAATCGACAGAAAAATTCTCGTAGTGACTCATGAAAAGATCCTTGATCAGTTGATTTCATCTGTACAAAATATGTGTAAATGATACTTTTATGATTTCTGATAAAGAATTCAACTTAGACAAATCTGCTCGACAATTTCAGCACAGCAGCAAACCCTTTTGCAAATTTCACTCTGAACTGAGAATCGAGATTTCCTTTTCTATTCATCGACATTAGCAGATCAAATAACTTAGTCCGGAAGTCCAGTCAATTGAAAGCTAATATGAACTAGACATTTGATTAATTTGCTGACCCTATGTCCTACTGGTCGTTGGTTTAAGGTAGCATATATCCATTTATTTACTAAATGAATCGTAAACTGGATATCAGATATTTCTTTGTGACCCACAATCCCTTCTGCTGATATTAAGCAAGTATTGCTTTCGATGTAATTTATTGTGTTTAATTTTTCTAGCATTAGTTGGTTGACTTAGCCTTAGATTTTAATACTCACTTCTGCTTTATTCCCAGTTCATTAGGTTCTATTGTAGTTGTATTTGTCCTTCTGTGATGTACAGTCATGTTAATGATATTTTTAGTAATGAGAGTTGTTTACTTATGTGATGTCAGTAGTGTGACTGATATCCCACTGGGCTATATCGTTGACATCGTCGTTGACACAGGCACTTGACATCATGCAACAAGTTTTACTAAAGGGATTTTGTCAGACTATGAGCATCCACTTTACCCACAGCGTTTACCTTGCATCTCCTCAGGTAAAACAAGTGGCCATTTCGAAAGATTTTATGCGCTCACGTCTATGGATAAAAATTCCACGATACCTTTTATGACATGTATTTTATGTTATGTAAATAGTGTTAGGCACGAAATAACTAAGTAACTAACCTTCTTTCCACTAGTAAATAAACAGTTTTCTGCATCCTTATACCATCAAGCTTCACTGTTATTCTTCTTATATTTACAGTCCTCTCCTTTTGTTTTGTTTATTTTTTTCATAAGTGTAAACATCATTTAAGCTCTGTAATAGTTGTTATTGTTTTGTTTTCCCCTTCACCATGCTATCTATATCAAGAGAACAAAATTTCCAAACTGTATCGACAATACTGTTTGAAACAAACCCATTGTTATTATTACCACTACTATCATTATTATTATAGTTATTATTCTCATTTTGTACTTTACACTTGTTTGACTTTATTCCTACCGTAAATGTGGACAAATTCCTGGGGTTAGTTTTATTCATATTTTGAGTAAATTAGATGCTACATTATAAGTCCTGCTTTTGGAATAAAGCAGACTATTATTAGTATTATTGATGCTTACTATGGAATTATTTATTGACTTATCTCTAAATATCCATTGACCTTCTTCTTCTTACATTTTCTATAGGATTCCAAACTACATGAATGCAGAAGAATATTCTGAAATGACTAAACAATTATTCTTAATTGATCATATCGTCTTGGTGTTCATTATCGCTGTAGGTCAAAAATTCAAAGGTATGTTGCATTTGAAAAAAAATATTCTTTCACCTAGTTGTGTGTTTTTGCGTATCTTGATCATTTAAGGGATTATTTAAACATAACACTTACACGAAATTATTTTCTATCATCAATACTTATTCGTTGAATAAGTTTCATCGCAGTGATAAGGTATTTGATCCTGCCCAAAAAACCTGTTTGATGTTTGTATACATGTCGAAATTCAGTAATGCTTATTATCGATGCTGTTTGGACCTTGCTTTGAATAAATGTTGAACACAGACGGACCTACTGCTGTTACCATGAATTTCTTGACTTTGTCAATCTAAACGCATTGTTCAATTGTATTTCAGTGGAAAGTTTATCGATTGAGTATACCTCCTTAGGAAAAATTCTATGATGAGACACTTGTTGATCAATCTGTCCTGTACATTGGTGACGATGTCTTGTCTTTGTTGAATGAATACACAGAAATAATGCTGCAGACTCTTCGAGACAATCAGCGATGGCTTGTGAATGTGTGAGGTATTTTCTGCATCTGGTTTACGTCAGTATTTCTCCCTACTTTAAAAAGTGAAGTCATCAGTCTCTTTATTTAAGAATTCACATCAATCGTGAGAAGTTAGTAGGAATTATTCAGCTTCCGCCACTATCCATCACTGATGGCTTAGGCAATATGTACAATCGCCTGTTTGTGATTGCATGTATGCTGTGCTACATACACTTCATTCTTTTCTATTTTATTGCTGTGAAATAGATGTTTAAGAACTGCAATTTTGAGTTATTTGACAAATTGCCACGGTTTCAAGGTTGATCATGAAGAAGTAAGAATCATTCATGATATGGTTGGTAGTGCTATAATGAATCCTGTATCATTTAACGTGTTCTTGACCTACTGTTCATTATTACAGCTAGTGCAATGTCGAACGAAGTTGAATTCAGTTGTGATAAAGCGAAATATATAGCTATAAAGTTATTGAATGTTTTTTTCCTTCACGTTCCCAGTGGAAAATAGGGCTTCAAGCTAGTGGCTTGAAGTTTCTGTAGCATTGTTTATTTTACAGGATGGGGTTGCTAGCCACATGCCCAACCTTTCCTCTTTGCCAGCAGTATTTCTGGCTTAGCGAGGTAAAGGAGTGCGTCAGCCGGGGATCGAATCCCGGACCATGTGCATGGTCGGCGAGCGTCCTAACTGCTAAGCCACCGACCATATTATGAAAGTGTAACTAGCCTGAAGAGAGTTCCTCTATGCTGCTTGGTTCACAATTGATTGACATGTAACCATGCTACATCTTCATGCAGGCGTTATGTGTTTAATTCCACCCTTTTTTCCCACGTAACGGGTTACAACTATGGATGATTCCTTCCCCGATTAATTAATTAGTTAGTGATATTCAGTGGATTTTTAATTCCTTTATTTTCCCAGTGGAATATAGTGCCTCAAGCTTGAGCTTTGAAGCTTCAGTAGTAGTAATGTTTGTTTTTTATGGGTTGAGGTTGCTAACCTCAGGTCCAAGCTTCTCTCCTTACCGGGCTTATTGCCAACTAATTGGGGTTAAGGAGTATATCGACAGGGGACCTCGGACCACGTGTATGTTGGCTAGTGTTCTACCATTGAACCACCAACGTGATATCCAGTGCAAGTTATGACAATTCCTGTTGTTTTACAGTAATACTAGGTCCTGTGTTAACAGTTTGTGTGTATGTTTCTCTATCTATACAAAGACAGACTGTATACCGGTACGGTCGCCTCCTTTGAGGTACATGCAATGTATCTTAACGTTTTTGAGTTTCACTTCTCACTGGTTATTAGTTTTCTTGTACAGTTTCCAAACATGAAAATTCATTCATATTTGAAATGTGTTTCAGTTACCATTGTGTTGCCCTTGAGGTAGATTTTTTCGACAGTTCTGTTTGAAATAGGTTGATGAATAAATTATGGGACCATATTCCAGCTTCCATAAGTGTTTTATTCCTTCCTATAAAGCGGAGTAGCAGAGAACGCCATTATTTTCTTAGTCAATGATGGTTTCTGTTATTCGTCTTGGTGAAATTATTTTATGGCAAAAGAAGTTTATTGGATATTGTTCTTGTAGACGAACTACTCGTCATTCATTGTATTGTTGATTTCCTTTCCCAATGCATTGAATGTTTCCCAAAACATTCGATCTATTATTAATAAGTGACTTTTTATAATATTTGTTGTATTGTTCATTTTTCTTTCATAGGTGCTAAAAAGATCGCTAATCGATTAGGTTTTACACATTCACTTCGTTGTTATGCTGATGGTGCTACGCCTAAAGTGATTGCTTGTGTTCGTTCCTCATTGTCTTGTCTACAAAAATGGCTTATTGGTGAAGTGAAAAATGTCGCCTGTTTGGATGCAGCTTCAGCTGGTGAATCAACACTGTATATTCCATCAGTTTTAATCGGATTACTGGACGTGTCTTCTTCCTCCTCTTCTACGTCCTCCTCCTCATCATCACATTCATCACCAATTACTGAAATCGATCTACAAAGTGTTTTGGCTTCATTTTTGGATGCAGTCTGTGGTGATGAAGCTTTCCTACGTCCACTTGGTTCAGCATTGACTGAACGTATTATGCATTCCTCATCTTGGCGTACTCGATTAGCTGGTATTCGCCTGTTGAAATTTGTTTTCAATCATTCAAGTGATCAAGCAGCTGGTAATAATCAAGGCGTTGTAATTGATTCAAAACATCCTGGTCCCGTCAACTGTATTATATCAGATTCTCTATTAGCTTTATCAGAAGCCTTAGAAGATGATCGACCGGAAGTGGAAGCTGAAGCCAACAAGCTATTCGCTGAACTAGAACAAATGGGTTTAACTGCTACAGAAACAAGAACTAATTAACACCCGGTTATCATTTGAAATGAATTTGTACCAGAAAAAAAAACTCTACTTATTTTGACATGAATTCCTTTTGTACAGTGTGTCCTCAAGTGCTTTCCAACCTATGTGAATATATAAAATTCCTTTTGAGCAATGATGATAGTATTTTTAATCTGTGTTCCTAACGCCGCCACTTATCTTGTAGTTTATCTCTTGTTATCAGTGAAATGGCATCCAACAAACCTACTACTACTTCCTCTATTTTATTGACAGGATATTCTAGAAATGCATATTTTTTAGACTTTGCATTGTTTTATTTCTGTCTATCGAAGGGAAGCGGTGCTGCATAATGGGCACTGGTTGATTTTGTGATTATTGTTCTGATGTGAGCATGTTTATCATCTTGGGCTATGAACACAGTCCTTCAACTCTTATGTCCGTAGAAATCTTATAATAGCTAAATATTTATACTTTGTAATTAAGTTGGAGGCTTTTATTTGTCCTCTATCATAATTGTGTGTATTGTGAGAGTAAGGTATCATCTGCTCATGCTCACTGGGATTGGTTAGATTCTTCAGAGAGTTTATAAATCATTTTGGCGGTCTACATATTACACTGTACGAGGTGGAATTTCACTACAGTTTCTTTTAGAAATTGGAATTGTTCAGATCACAATATGTGATCTTCTTGATACCGTAAATGGCAATCATGAGAGCGAGGAAGAATGCATGGTTGTACATACTACTGATTGATTTGGTTTGAGTAGTTGGACATCACTCACACCAACGAGTGGTACCTGCTAACCAGATCGAAGTGATCCAAACACACCGAATGGGCGTTTCATTTATTTCGGGGATGTTTTCATTAGCTCTATACCTGGGTTGATTGTGAACAGAAAGCCAGGCGTTTTTAACTCTGAAATGACAGTTTCAAAGTCAGCTTTCTAATTGATTGAACGACCCTCTTGCTTATTCATAAGGGAATCGTAATAGTAACAAATTATACAAACAACGTATACTTTTCATGAGTACGTTTGTCCTAATCACAATGAATGGTGAAATATGTAGGAGATGTACGTATGTAGTTTATGTTAGAGAGTCTCTCCATATAATTTGATTGGACACTAGTTAGTAACTAGTGTAATGCGTGTGTGTCTAGTCCTTTGTTTGATGCAGACTGAATGCTATCAGTCAAGTGCGCAATGTGGCCAGCATTCTAAGTGGCTTGCCATCACGGTGCACTTTGAATTGTTGATATTAGATGGATACCAGTTACTAACTAGTGTTTAATTAAAATATCCAATACAGTCCTACAGGAGGTCAATCATGAACCCGAATAGCTCAGTTGTAGCGTCTCTGATTGCAGGCGCAAATGGGTGACGCGGGTTCGAATCTCAGAAAGGAAATGAATTCCTTCAAGGTTGCAGATACGCATTGTTGACTGGTGAGTGCCAACTATCACTAAACCTAGGTCAAGGGGGCTTCTTGGCGATTACCTCCAACCATCTAATATCAACCGTCTCTTCATATAAATCAGTAAATCAACACATACTAGAATTTCATTTATGTTTCTAATCTGGGATCTTATCATCAAGTAATCGTTGGTCTCTCTGGAAAATTGAATAAAGCTTTATCTCTTTCCGAGTCAGTTTACTTTCCTTCATATTTCTCATTAAGCTTGGCGTAGCTACTGACTTTAAGAGTTTAAGAGTTATGTAATGTCTTTTACTTCTTCACTGATTTGTTTTATTCCTTTACGTTCCCAGTGGAACATAGGGCTTCAGGCTAGAGGTTTGAATTTTCAGTAACAGTGGTGTTGTTTTACGGAGTGGGGTTGCTAGCCTCACGCCCAAACTCCCCTCTTTGTCAGGATTACAACTGGCTAAGGGAGGTAAAGGTGTGCATTGCCTGTGACTCGAACTCCGGACCATGTGCATTGTCGGCCAGCACTCTACCGCTGAACCACCGATGCATTGGAACTAAAGTAATAGCAATCACTGATAGTCATTGGTATTTTGATCGATTGATTTGTTTGGCGAGCAGTATTTCACGTATTGTTCTGTTATTTCACTTGATTGATTTCTAATCAATAGTTTACTTTCGTGTAAACTCCTGGGAAATTACATAACACAGGAGTGGTTAATGCTTTATTTTCACCTTTGGGCAATGGATTTACTAAATGTCAATACTAGTACTCTAATACAATCTCACTTATGCCTTGTCACTGGTCATAATAGTTTTTTGCTTTATAAATCATCTTCAACCTCATCGTTATTATGACAGTTAATGGGATGCTGTAATGAACCCATTTCTTCCCATTTGTTTAATGCAGTAGAACGGTGCGCAGAGCGATGGGGTTTCTGAATACAGGTATATTATAATCAGCGAAATGTAGGACATTTCCTCTGTTAGTAGCAATACACATTAAACTTTTTACGGTCCCTAAAGTTTCTAGAAATATTTATCTAATTGCTTGTGTTGATATAAAACTCATTCAATATTTGTAAAAAAAAGTTGGTAGATTAAAGTGTATAATGATTCCTGTGAATCTGTTAGCAAATTTCACTCAGATCAGAATGCACTCACATAAACCATGCCTTGGGTCAAATGTAATCAATTTGGTAATAGTCATTTAGATTTTCACTGAGCACGGAAACAGAAGGCTCGTTTGGTATATACCAACTTACGCCATCGCTGGCTTAGTAGACGTGATATCTGGCTGTCGACCAAAGGGCGTGAATACTACTGATCAGTTCGCTCTGTTCTCCTTTATGGCTGTGAAACGTGACCAGTGAAAGTAGAAGACATGAAAAGCCCGGCTAGCTGTCTTTGATCATAGATGTCTGAGTTCTATATCCCGTGTGAAGTGGTTTAATAAGGTGAGCAATATTAGGGTGAGGCTTCGATCGAGTGCTAGGTAAGGAGGGAGGGGAAATCAATAGACGAGGCTGTGAAGTTACACCGACTGAGATGGTTAGGACATTTTTTACGCATACCTAACCGTTGATCGCCTTCTTCGACGGGCAGTGTTAGGTGACATAGGATAGATCATGTTGGAAAAAAGCTAGGTGGGGTGGTTAAATCGAAACATGGCTTCATCAGTCAATGAAATCCACAACAGTTAGTTTGAGCCGGCTGCGTGGGGAAGTGTAGACCTCCTGGTTAGGGTCCTCGTGACGGTAAACACCAATGGCTGGAGACAATTGGTGGTGATATGGCTCAGAATCGCTCTCAATGGATGACGCAGATGCACTCACTCTTTTTGATTTCTCATATCCAATAAAATTCTATTATTCTTCGATATCTATTCTTTTTGCCTCACATTTCTGTTATTATTATCTCTCTTTTGAATCTCTCGCTTTGTGTGCTACACAGTGGGAGAGTGGCGACTGGAACTGCTGCACATCTGTGCAAAGTTCTACGTCGAAACCAGTCAGTCAATTAGATTTTCACGGAAACATAACAAAAGCTACTATTTATCTTTCTTAAGAATGAGTTTTTTAGAGGATATTGTAGATGCTCTATGTCCTGAAGATTTCAGTACTCACTGACCAATGAGACATTTTTATAGAAAATTATGTGAAGTGCGTGAATCTTTGTTGCTAGGCTATGCCATTTTGATCAACGTACACTTGTAGAATAGCATTTTATGCATCACTTAGTAGCTGGGAGATTAACTAGTTGACTTTATGATCCATAATAGGAATTAAATAATAGCTGGTATGGTTTTCTGTAATTATCAGACAATAAATACATTATAATGATAGCAAAATTTTAAGAATTATGCTGTCATTTATCCCAATACATAGCAACTGGATTTTGTGTCAGGCTTTATGGATCACTTATTGACTTATGTCATTGGTTTCGGAATAGTGAGAGGCCACCTTCACTACTGCTAAGTTGTTGTTTCGAGCACATATAAGTAATTTCAAATACTTATTCTACTCTGATTGTTCTGTGGGTTTGATTTTGTATCACGAATGGTGCAGTGTTAGTGTAGACTTTCTCATGAACTGAGAACTATTAGAGAATCATGGAAACCTAGACAGCACTGTAAGTTGTTTCGTCCTAATTTGGAACTCTTCATCAGCACCCACCTTAACCCCGTTAGAGTCTCCAGTGTGTATTTCATCACCCAGTGTATTATTAAATCATATTGCCTTAAATCTTGGTGAATATTTATAATTCATCTTGTGACAGTAACGGTAGCACTCGGAAATTTCACATTTTTGTCAATAGGCCTTGAAATGTCACTGTGGGTGTCATTTCCACCGCCGCCTGACAGTGGGAATCGTAGACTAGACAAATTATTGATATAATACTAATGCTACATACTTTTATTAAATTTTGTGGGTTGGTCCATTGCATCTTTGTTTGTTGGTTTGATTTCCTCTTGTCTTTTATTATCCTGTCTAGCTGAGATTTTGTGACTAGGCTAAACATGGAGTATATTTAGATGCGATGGAGAAGATTTATAGCCCAGATAGATGATATTCGCACGTTTGTGTTCTCTCGGTTTTACAAGTAAATCATCCAGCTCAAAGAACACAACTGCACCAATGAAGTGTATCCCCCATCAGTTGATCTTTATGCTTTCTTTTAAGCCCAGATTTATGACTTAAAATTAACTGTAATGAATTTCCAAGTTGCATAATCACTAGGAGCGAAAAGTTAGTAAGCCATAATGTCATGCATATCCGTAGGGTAGAAATGCATTTTATCTTAGTATTTATAATATCAACTGTATATTGATTGTAGTTATCAGCAGAATTTGATAATATATGGGGTTATATTAAACACTAATTTCTCATACAACTAACGAAGACTTCATTTTGAAGCTTAACCAATTATAGGAGATTCAAGACACTAAGAAATATCACCATTTTCTGTGACCTGGTGGGGGATCAAAATCCCCCCAAAATGGGATGCTTTACTCCGTTTGATTTCGAAATAAAACAGTTAGACGGTTAAAATATGTTCATTTTGAAGCTGAAGGAATCGGATAGTCTTTTTATTAGTTATTGTAGAAGGACTTATGTTTTCTTCTTCAACCGATAATTAA